AGTTTATTAGTATATATATATATTTTCTTAAAAGTTTCAAATAAAAATGTATCATATTAGTTATAATGTGGTCAAGCAACTTAACAGGGGCGTCTAGATTTCCAGCTCAAATTGCTGCAAACTTTTTTGAACTCTTTTCTGCGCGTATAAACTGCGTTTGTATCAAGTATCAGTTTGTAGTGCTGAATGATTGAATGCTTTGTCTAGAACATTTCTCCATAGTGCTGCTACTTAAAGCTGCCTCCCAATTGCTGATGCGATATTCTCAAAGTGAATTTTGTGTAACTCCCACGAGGTGACGTCCATCGTAGATAGGAGGCTTTATACTGGCCCAATCGGTTCCTTCAACTGATACTTTTGTCTTTTCCGCCGCTGAAGAGAACCTGACCTGTTCTGCCGTTGCACTTCTTAGCTAATCGTGTTTCCACCAGCTGTTTTTGTGTTTTGAGAGCTGTTTCTCTTGTTCGTTGTTTTATGTACCTACTTATCGAAAAAAAGCTCTATTTTCAAAATCTGTGTATCTCACTTCTGACAATGTTTGTTGCTGTTTGCGTCGGTTAAATACACAGTAATGAAAACAGTCACATTGTACAAGAAAGTACTACACTACTGATCCGAACATTCCCAGAAGCGACACGCTTAAAGTTCGTATTTCTTCGTTTACCGGTTGCTTATTATTGAAGTGTGTTCTCATGTTTTGTAATATGTTTTGGATATAATAAAGAAAAGGAAAAAAAAACTAAGCGTAACATTTTTTTTTTTCAATAGCGTTTCTTAAAAATGTAAGAAAGGAATAATCATTTTTACGGTGTAGCAATTTTATTTTGCACGCTTTTCATTATGCCATACGCACCCGTTTCTATTGTACTCCGTGTAAAGTATAAATTAAACCAAATTTTTTTTTTCTGGAAAGACAAAATTAAACGAGTATTTTTTTACATGTGTACACTGCTTGTATTTATGAATATCATGCGAATTGTACGCAGTTATCGCATCATAAACTCTTTTATACTCATCCGGGAGTAATAATTCACAAAATCTTTTTTAGTTTACTAGTTTTTCATTCTGATACGTGACCGGCAAGCGTAATATTTTTCGCTCGCAAAAGCATTTTATTTTATTATTGAGAATGATTTTTAATGTTAAAACCACCTACCAAAAAATTACATACTTAGATAATACAAAAAAAAAAGTATTTTATTAAAAAATAGAGTTTAATAACTCTATCCGAAACGTTTACATGTATGTTTTTAAAATTCCTCAATGGGAAACACTTATAAAATAGTACACATTGTTCAAATATATTACTTTTAATTATAAATCGTATCTCCAGTCGAATTATACACTGGAATTTACTTTTGCTCGAGTATTTGCAATAATCGGGATCGAATAGGACAACATAAAAAACCTTCGTCAATACGGTAAAAGGAAACATACCAGTTTGTGTTTTTTGTTACAGTATTAGCACGTTCAAAGCACAGAAAATTACGCTTAATTCTCGAGTATTTTTTTTTATTGATTTTACAACTAGGTTGAATTACTTGACCGGTATATAAAATAAATTGAAATTAGGAAAAGTGGCTAAATCGTATACAATGTTTTAGTTACGTTCAAATAAAAAGTTTATGGAAGGCAAAAAAAATAAAAAAATAAATGTGTACGACTATTTTAAAGTTTACAAACACCAAAAACCCACCAAAACAGTTCTGACTTATTTATATTTTCCATAACAGCGTTTTTTTATTTAAAAATAGTTCCATTAGTTTCTAACAATATATAAATTATGTTTCTGTCGAAAAAAAAGAAGAAATATCTACGGCAGACTTTTTCATTGAGAACAATATTAAAGAATTTTATTTTTAATATTTCTGTTAAGCTCTAATCAATAATCAAATGCATTAATATACGTACATATAACATTCAAGTGGATGTTTTGTAATGTTATGATCTTTCGTAATTAAATCATGATATATTAATTTTATACAAAAATATTATTTACATTTCAATGGTTTGTAAGTTTCCACTGTGAATTGCCATTGTAATTATCACACACTTGTACAATCGACAATTTCTCTGTTAAGTATAAATTCCAGTTACAAACTAATTATATCATTATTCACATACAAACAATAAAACATAACTACTATTTATTGTACACAGAACGTTATAATGTAATAAAACTATCAATAATTCATGGATACTTTTATAATAGCGAAATATGTTGACTATATTTCTCCAATGTTGGAATTGTTTATCAAAGTTTAATTTAATTGAGCCTTGAATGTTGTCCGAGAGTAATAAATAACATATACATATATCTATATATATATATATATATATATATATATATATATATATATATATATATATATATGAATGTTGATTAACAACAAAAGCACTAAAATGTAGGTAATAGTACAAAGCACATCGGCACTTTACACACTTATCATACAAATATGAAAATTATAACCTAATTTGTACTTTTAATGTATGATATGATTACAATTAAATTTGATTTTGGCTTTCCAGATATTTCAAATTGTACCTAAATTAATGTTATACTGAAGTATCAACCATGAAGTTTCAATCATTTCATGGCAAAGCTTAATTAAATAACAAATAATTATAAGTAAAAATTACAGTATATCACATTTCTATAACAATATAGTTTACTGCAATAACAATTTTTAAAACTTTAAAATCAACATGAAGACAACGTACACAATAAAATATAGTCTTTCTTAAGTTTGCTACATCACAATAAATGTACAGACATCAGTAACTTTACACTTCAAACAAGTATTTCATTGAAATCATTCAAATTTTATCGTTTTCAGTTGACAACTGACCCGTGATCAGTTTCAGGGAGTATAGTTCATAAATTTATAATGTTTTGACTTTTGATACAAGTCAGAAATGTTTTAATACAATTTTATAAAAACTCTACTCTCTCTATTATTACGAGAAGCATTATAAAAGTTGCTAGGAACAAAATATTCTTTTATAGCATGGCAAAAGTATTACGACAGAAATGTGTACTAATAAATAATAATAATAATAATAATATTCATGTTAAAAAATATAAATTTCACTTGATTTGGTGGGTTTTATCTATAAACCTCTTATATTTTTTATCATAAAATGTGCACACTTTTCTGGTATAGTTGTGAAAATTGAAATTTCTTTTTCGTGATTAATAATAAAAAGCTTGCATTAAGTCAAAAATAAATATTCTTCATTTTTTTTTTCTTATTAATGATATTTATATATTTAATAAAAAAAACCGTTTTTTTTTTAGTTTTCTTTAAAATTAATGTTATTGGTTGTATACTGGCTAAATAAATAATTTTTTTTATTTTCCTATTAATAATATGTAATTCAGGTGGTTGGAATAAGAGACTACATTTTCAAACAGAATGCATCGCATGCGCTACTCAAATTCAGTTTATACGGTTAAAAAATAAAGTTTATTGTCAATAGTAATTATTGTCGACAGAAAGAAGTTTTCAGTGATGAAATAAATAATACAAATAGTAAAATCAAAAACGGCCATTTTATAAACTTGCTATAGCAATCAAATAAAATACATAAAGTTGTGTACACTTTGGCGTAACAATAATTGTTTTTGCAAACTTTATAAGTTTGTAAGTTCTACAATATCCAGTATATTATTATTCATCCAATTGTTACAAAATTAAGTATTTAAATTATTCATTGTATATTTATGGTAACATTTAACCAATTGATTTCAACATTTTAATATCAACTCGAAATCGCATAATGTTTGCTAGAAAACATGGACAAATATTATATTGTAACCGATTTACATTCAAACCTCAAATTTAAAGATAGAGTTTCTACAATGGATTAAATATTAATGGAAGCTAACGAGATGAAACTGTGAAGTATAACATCTATATTTTCAGGTGTTGCAATTTGCATAGGAATTAGAAGCGTTACATCAATATTCATGATTTACTTAATTTCCATATACGTTTGAAACGGATAATCAGACAACGAACTTCATGTTACAGCAGTATTTTGCAATTAGTTATAATGAAACAAAATGTTTTAGGTGAATAATATAATATCGTCATTAAAATAAATCGAACACTGATTTGTTATTGTTATATTCTGCCCGATTGAAAATAACCGATGTCTGGTTGTTAATTTTTTAACCCCCAAGTCAATTTGTTTGAGTTAAATGTTATTTAAAGTATATATTTTATACATTTTATACCACGACAATTTTCATTAAATTATGCAAAACTTTTTAGTCAGATGGTGTTTTAAAATTTGTTTTCATAATTAAATACCTAATTATTTTTTAATCAACGATAATGATTATTGTTATTATTATTATGGTTGAATGTTATTCGTACTTCACATACAAACCATATTTATTATTATTAAATTATTATGAACAAAATATGTAGATCCCTGTTAGTTTTATGGATGACACGTTTGTACGTTATAAACTTTAATCCACGACTACATTTACTAGCATTTGCAAATACCATGTTAAATGTACATACACTAGCTATATATACTGTGTTGTATTATCGTTGAGATTAATTGTATATTATCGGGTAACTATGATGAAAACATTTATTCGTGTTGTTAACGTTTACGGAATTAAAAATATATTTACAAGTAAAAACAAATTGGCATAATTACTAAGTTTGTCAGAAAAAATTATCACAAAAACAGTTGATAGAAAAGTAATGTGTTGAAATATATTTTTGGGAATTACTTCATTCTAAAATGATCAAGAATAAACAATTATTTTTTAGAAATCAGCACATAAAATGCAAGAGCTATAGATCTTAAACCGCAGCCAGTATTAAAAAAACTTTGCCCAACGAAAACAATGTCACTAAATTTATTTAGTTACATTAAAAAACTTTGATACATAATAAATTAAAAAAGAAAAAAAGTACAACCATATTTTTACTTGCCTTATGCTGAATTTAAGAATTTATTAAATCGCATTAGGTTACCTTATTAAAATCGAATTAACTTTGTTTCATTTGAATTCTTAAGAACTCCGCTATTCGTTCATTTGTTAAGGCTCTGAAACACAAAATAAGTTTTAAACCATTAAATGGATAACCAGAACACGTTAATCTGATAAATTATTTGAAAATTGTTTTGCGTCAAGTTAGTTCCGGTCATATGGATAAATGGGAAACATCAAGTATAACAACAACTCTAATTATCTTAACACAATGATTTTTGAGTGTTCTACATAAAAGTCCTAAATGTTTTCAACCGTAAAATAAACATGACAATTGAAGTCGACATTTACCAACGTTCTTGTCTAAAACTTACATGGCGATCTTTCACGTATAGTTAACTCAGCGGGAACCTATTTTTCTGAATTGCACAAATGCTCGTGTATTTCAAATAAACAAATTTACTTAATAAAAACCTTGCAAAATGAATTTGTATGGACATATATTACTTAAAATATGGGAACAAATATTGAAATATAGATTTTACGTATAAAATCAATTTTAAGTTTTATGTCTGTAAAATTTTACATTTTTTAAGTTATTGCATACAGTTAGTTTTGACAGTTCCGACAGTTGCGTTTGACTTCTCTTTGAAACTTTACGTTTACTTTGTTTCATATGAAAAATCAAATAGTCATCGTGTTTTACATCAAACGTCCGGTTTAGTGTGGTTATAACCGCAAATGTAGTTTACGAATGAAGCGTGGACAATATTTTGTTTTCTGAGACATGGAATGCAACTGTTAGATCTTAAAAACGTTTTCATCCTTTGGTAAGTTTTGTAATTTTGTAAGTTGTAATGAGGTATACCTACCAGACTCCTATTAGCTGTAAATTCGTACGGTAAGAATACTTTGTTTTGGATTGCTTACATAATTTAACTAACACAATATTATTATATATTTTTTAATAGCTACAAGAATTATAGAAATGTATTATGGGGATAAAATCGATTTTTTAAAGATATGGAACACACGTGTATAATGTTGTGTGATTAATAATAATTATAGTGTAACATATACTGTTGTTACGGATCGGTAATCAAGTTTAAAAGAATCGAGACTACGATTGAGAATTTTGGTGCTTAAAACAATAGGGCAGCAACCATTATGATTATAATTAAAACAAGAAGAGCAAAATGTGTAATGCAGTACCGTGCGATAACATTATTGTTTGTTGAAGACAACAACAGTAGGAGAAAGGAAAAAGAGAGGCAATAAAAGAGAGGTAAATAAAAAGGAAATTGCGTAATTACCAGAAAGTACGAGTTCGTGTGTAGTCATTTTCGTCGACAACAAGACTGTGTAAACTCTTAATCTAATTTTGCTAGTACTTTTTTGAAAAATTAAACTTCAATTATTGTTCTTATATGTATATATATTGTTGTTTGTTCATGAATAAAACGGTACCAGCGATCAGATAATAGGCCTGATATTGTTATAACAAAAACGGTCGACTATTGCCCACCAAAGTAGTCGATTGATTGCCAGATAAGTAAACCGCAGATACCTATTATAGATAGAACAACCAATGGAAGAACTTTGCAGTACATTTATAAAAAATATAAATATAAATACATATATCCATTAGATTCAAATCGTAAAATACAAACATAGTTGATTTTTCAAAACTAGCAACTAATGATATTACAAAAGTTTTTGTAGAAACATAATGATTCATTTTTGATTTTCTATTTGTCACAAAAAATAACTTAGGACCAGTACAAGGTAAACCATAACAAACGACAAAGAAAAACCATTATTGAACAAAATTTCAAATTTACTCAACGAGCACATCGGTTGCTGTTACTTTTTAGAAAAGCTTTTAACGGTACTTAGGTATATTTTGTATTCATGCTTTATCATAATATTCCTTTACGATTGTATTTTCGTTACTTTTCAAATATTTTTTTCTCTTCTACAATCTACCTCTCTTTGTGAGGGAAACGGGATAATACTTATAACGGGATTATTATATTATTCAGAGTAGCGTTTTTATGTTTCCGTCAATAATTTTTCGAGTAATCAGTTGCGTGCGTAGGCTAGTATTTTATTATATTCTAAATCATTTGACATACCTTCTCAGTCATCACATCGAAGCTAAAATATACACTTTTAGTTCTTTACTTTCTGTATATTGCACGGTTTGTAGCGACTTAACTATTATATAATACTACCTCGGCCGTGGAGAAAATCCTGAACCATCGGAACATAAGTACTAATTGAATTTCCGCTTTGTGTCCAACAGCGGTTAGCGAGTCGGAATAAAGTGTTATTAGAATTATTATTTTTTTTTTTATATTGTCCGTAATGACATCTAGACGGCAAAATATTTTTAGTTCACTCGATGAATTTTCACAGTTGACGGTTTCAAATAGGTTTTAGGGCGCGCCATTTTTAAAAAGCAGACATTTTCTGAACAGGACACGTTTTGCGTACAATTCCAAACGGTAGTTTCAGGTGAAAATAGGCGTTGGTAGTCGTATACACGGTGTGTAGTTTTGAAAACAATTTTCGAATTAACCGAGATGGTTTGCGCCAAAGGGTGAACCGCATGCGACAAACTGTTTATTATATTCCACACACACACCGGCGACGGGTTTAACCGGCGTTAACGCGAAATTCGCCGGTCTGTCTGGCCAATTGTGAATAATTAACCGTCAACGGTGTGTTGGCCGAGTAGAAGCGAGCTCCTTCGCCGTTATCTTATGTCGCGGCCACGGATACAATAATAATTATAATAGCGGCGATGATGATGATGATGATGATAATAATAATTATCAGGACCCCACGGCATACCTGCGAGTGCCCGGCCGGCTGACGACTGTGGTCGGCTTTGGCTACGGTTCCTGCGAGCGAAGGAAGAATAATATAATTTAATATAATATTCGCCAAACACCGTGACTGCGGCGTGCACCGCCGCCGAATCAGTGATCCGATTACGGAATCGAACTTTTGGCCGCGAAAACCGCCCAAGACTCTATACAGTGGCACCTGTCCAAAAACCACGGCAAACTTTCTTCGCCCTCGTCTTGAGAATAAAAAAAAAAATAAATAATAAGTGTATCGTTCGCCGAATGTCTTATTCTTATAATGCACACATATATATATATATATATATATATATATACACTTTGGTGTACAAAAAAGTAACACGAGTAATATTTTTCCTCGGGTACGTGCGGCCGATCGCATAATAACGCGCCCCGCCGGTAGACTTACACAAAAGCACCGCCGATTTTATCGGATGCGCTTTTCTCCACTTGGACGTCTCCGGCGGTACATAAAAGTATACGACCGTCCGATTTATAGTGTTTTTTATTATATTTTTTTCCATTCAACGCACAGACACGGAACTAACATTTCTACTGCCGTCCCTTAAGCAAATACTGTTTTAGTAATGACTTTCCGCTACGCCACACGACGTTTAAACGGGCGCGCGCCCCGCGGGTTTGCCGAAGAAACGGCGTGCGGCGTTCCGGGCTAGAAAATATTATCAAAATATGCCTTTCGAGAACGAGGATGGACAGATCAAATTGGATAATGCGCAGGACCTTGTGTTATGTGTAGACCCTTTGTAGGTTCGTTAGGTTTCGGGGCAGACGTTTCCCGTTGGACAGTTTCGCGCAAACCCGAAACAATATTATTGTCTGTGTACATACGAATGTATACGGACAATCAATACGGATTTGGAGTTTATCCAAAATATAATGAAATACACCGCGAACTGCTTTATAGATAAAACTGAAAAAATACATTTTATTGAGAATTTCGCCGAGAAACGCTAAGGCGATGATGCCTTTCAAAATGTTGTATGGTTTTTCGTAAAAAAATTAAATGGCCAAAAAGAGTTTGTGGGCGTATATTACAAAATTTGCAATAAGTCTATACATATAATATGTATCGTAGGATCGACAAATTAACTATTAACTTTTTATTTTCTACCAGGCTCTGTGGATAATTTTTTTTTTATTAAATTTTTTATATCTTTAAATATTTTTTGTTCGGTTAAGATAAGTTTAAAGAAAATTTCTCTTACTGAGTGAACAGAAATTTCATTTTTACAAATTAAAAGTGTAATAACAAAAGAGCATATAGAAGTATAAACTTAATTGTAGTGTTTTCGCTTTGTCTCGACACTTATTACCTAACGTAGATAGTATGACAAAGTTTCCTGTGTTTTTGTAATAGGGTACCATTTCGATAAGAACGTCAATGGACAATAGCCGTGATGATAGTATGAGGATTTAGTTCATAGAGTCTTATCTCCTGAAGTTGAATATATCTCTGTATGTGAAGTTGTTAAATTGTAATCGGGGTTTGTTCCGAGAAAAAAAAACCAGACCGAATAAAACAGTACTCTTTGTTTGTGAGATATCCCATTATGGTCGACACGATAATATACTTTTAAGCTTAATGACTGTGTTTTGTTATGTTCAACATTTTAAAAAAAATTGTATTATAGTTATTGCTCATTAGGAACTAATAGGTTAGCAAAACTTAACATACAAATTAAATTTTATATTATTGGAAATAGGCATCTTATGAATATATTGTGATCATTGAATTAAATAATACTACCATTTTTCACATGACAAAATCAATATAAAGTTTGCGGCACAATTTAAATTGTAGTTTTAAAAAAAAATATTATTGGTAAGCATACCATGAGAATAATGTTAACAAAACATGCACAAGAGTCTAAAATACAAAATGATATTGTATTTCTACATATCACCGCTTGTTAAGTTTAAATTGAAACAAATAAACTTTGCAACTCTTTTTGTCCTTAATTATTCACAAACGCACACAACATTTTTTGCATATTTTACTCATCTAATATGGTTAACATGTACACAGTTTATTGTCAGAACATGTGGTTCAGTAAGAATTTGAACCCAACGAAAACTTGAGGTGTAATCATCTCAGAGTCTTGTAAATAAAGTATTACACTAAATATTTTTTTTTCTATATTTGTGAAAACGGTTTGCTCAATTGAAATGTATTTATTTATTTATTTATTAGAATGGAAAATTAACCATCGGAAACATATATCATT